CTACAAAGAGAAAACGTCGAATCGAGTGCGCATTTTTAGCAGACGCTCTTACATATGTAACCTACTTATGGTAGTGGCGCAAACTCATAAAACCTTTCCTGAGCTATTTTACAGTAGGAGATCCGATTTTTGGCACTGATATTAGTCTTTGAAGAAAAACTATGGTGACATTCGGAATGAACGCATTACACCACTTCGAGTGATATGTAGCTCAGCATATTTTTCAAAACAAATTTTTTTCGGAAAATTATAGCTGAAGTACTCGCCAGCCAGATTTTTTCGTAAATTTTTTTCTTAAAAACTTTCTGTTTTCTTAAAGATGATTCTCTGAATGATATATCGTTATTTCTGAGCAAAAAAATCGTATATTCATATCGGTCAAAAATTACGAAATACTCGAAAGATGTCATTTTTCGAGCAAAACACATTCTTTCTCGAAATGTACAAAATTTTCTACTTTATTCTTTTTTTTTTGCTTCTGAAAATAATTTTTCCAGATTCAGCATCAAAAACTGAATAAGAACAAATTCTTAAATCAACTCTAGGCTCAAAACTCTATTGATGGTGGCGGTTCGGATCGGGTCGAGTGCATCATGTATAGGTCGATTTTGTAAACCTATCTAGTTTTTCTACATAAGCGATGGAATCAAATATTTTATCTCATTCGACTCATCATACTACCAGTCACAAAGTTACGTATCCTTTTCTTTTCTTTTCTTTTCTTTGTTGAAAAAATCGGTTTGACTGAAATTTGGTCAAAATAGCAAGGTTTTTGCCAGTAATTCTAAATTTTCTTCATCAAAAGTTAGGGTTTATACAAAAAGAATACCATATTAGGAATTAGCGTAAAATACTGAGTCGATTGATGTATATTTGAATCGTGTTCAATAACTTCAGTTTTTTTCGAGTTTTCACCGGTTACGGTGACTGAAAATTTTGCCAAAAAATCAAAGATGACGAAAAGTCGAGAAACATACATCAAACGACTCAAGTTTTTACGCTGATTCCGAATATGGTATTATTTTTGTACAAACTCTAACTTTTGATGAAGAAAATTGAGAATTACCTACGAAAACCTTGCTATTTTGACCAAATTTCAGTAAAACCGATTTTTTTCAACAAAGAAAAGAAAAGAAAGGAAAAGGATACGTAACTTTGTGACTGATAGTATGATGAGTCGAATGAGATAAAATATTTGATTCCATCGCTTATGTAGAAAAACTAGATAGGTTTACAAAATTGACCTATACATGGTGCATTTTAATTATCATCTTATACGATTTAAATTCATCCATGAAGGAGTTCCGAACGTCCAGAAAACTCATTATATGGCACATACAGATAAACGGTATGGTACTATACGGATATAATTTTCCATTCCCTTACAAAAATTGTTTTACCGATATTGTAGTGCTATCTATATCATCTATGCTCGTATCGTATCTTTTCGTAGTATTTGAACTCGCATTTTACTGGCATCCATAACATTCATACTCGACCCGATTCCGATCAATAGTTTGAAATGCAATTGTATCTTTTTCTCATTTCGATTCAATAAAAAACAAAAATTGGCATTCATCTTAGTCGTATTTCTTCTTACTTTTTAGAAGAAATGAATCGTTGACAACGTAGTTTCAGATCCAGACCCACTCTTAATCATAGATACTATATCACTTTGTTGCATTGCATTTGAGAACGACCTAGAATGTTTCATTGATTCTGATACCATTTCGAGAAGTATTTTTCTTTCTTGCAGTATGAGGAACTTTTTATGAGAACAAACGAATTATTTTATCAAAATAATGCAAGATAAATTAAAACAGTGTTTCTAATGAAAATTCTCAACAAAATGCTTCTTTACAAGTCGTTTATACTAGTGAAATGTACGTATATACTTCTTATTCCAAGTAGAGTGTATCAAAGTGTACAATAAAGAAGTTCTTTTGAATAATTTAGCAAAAAGAATCAGAAGAAAAATTCTACTTTTTCGTTTAACGAATAATACCTATTGATGATAAAAAGAGATGATAAGTCAAAAATACATCTTTGTTTCTTTTTCGTCATATAATCAAAGAGACATTGGAAAATAGAAGAAAGTTATGGTTATTATTTTTTTCATTTAAAAACTCATCTAACCATGTTGTAAACAAATTGTACTTTGTACATTGTAATTTTTTTAGCACAGTATGAAACAGTGTACAAATCGAGAGCAGCAGATGTTCTGTGCATTTTACGATTGTTTAGTACACCTACTATCAGAAACACTGACTGTAAATTTGAGGTATCATAGTGGCAAACATTATCTTTTACTTCAATTATATCAGCCATCAGCATAGATAATTAACGAAAATGACAACTTTATATTCTTTAAAAATTTGAATTTAGATTTCTGATGAAATTTTAAATAAAAACAATATATATAAGACTTCAAAATGAATGTTAAGTAATTTTAATCTATTAAAATTCATTAGAATCTATGATAAACCCATTTACCAATATAGATGTCCCTATTCTCCTATGATTTATTTTGATTCTATTCAGGTGTCGTACATTGTACGAAAAGAAAACTTAATGAATGATAAAAGACATACAATCCAATCCAATCCAATGGACAATGTTGATGATGAAAAGAAATAGAAAAATATGCTTAAAGGAAACTACAGTTACTTTGACATATTTTAACTTTTGATTTCTATTATAGTTTGAGTACTTTTAGATGAATTTCAAAATTTTTCAAAACTATTTTTCAATCGACTCATTCTTCAACATGAAACAAATGTATGTAAACATGTTTCAAAATTTGTTCAGTTTAATTACAAATATTAGGATTGATTATTAAGGTAATGAATAATTCTTCTAATTTGAAAAATTAACTTTTAGAATTCAAATGAAAAATGATTCTATTAATATTCTATTTTTTTCATATCATAAAATCTTACATATGACTATGTCAAAAAGAAACCAATTTTTACGAATAATAAATAGTATTTCAATCATGCTCTTTTCTTTTTAATATAGGAGAAATTTATTTAGATTATGTAATATTCTTTAATAAAGTATTTAACATGCGTTATGATTAGTCATGAATAGATTGAAGTTTTCTACAATAAATACTTCAATCAGTTCTAGTCTGAACCAAATACGATTCTATATTGAATTGAAAATTTTGTAAAATTATTCACTTAATCAAAAATCATTGTTTGACTTGAAGAGACAGGATGTCTCAACGGAAATTGATTCATATACTGTGAATATTTTATCTGTCTGCAATTTTCATTGGAACATATTTATCTGGTCAAATCAACTATTAGATGTGTTTTTTTTGTTATAAAATATTTATTGCAATATTAATATTTTTTTGATAATATTTGATTGAAGATATGAATTATTTTCTTTGTCTACATATTTAGAGTATCTATTTTTTGTTGATAGTATCTCTAGATTCTTATTATTTGATTTCATTTTTATAGCTCAGACACATATATCATGTTACTCAATCTATGATGAGAGTTACAAATGATAAACATGCATCACTAACTGAAAAAAAAAATCCTTACGTAATTTGTAACGAAAATTGCTGTTTTTCTTTACCATCTTTTTCCTTTATTTTTGTGTTAATATCAAAAATTACGAAATGACAAGGATTATGCAATTTTTAGCATTGGTTCAAGGATTCTGTGATGAAAACTACCAACCAAAAAACACTTTAGACAATGCAAAAAAAAAAAACGTTAAAGAAAAGCAGTAATTTAGGTCACAATTTATCTTGCACCAAGGAACATATTAAAATAAATCGTTTTATTTTAGTCATTCTAAATAACACGTCATATATATATGCAAAAAATTTTCTTGCAGATAATAAAAGAAAAACAAGAATCATGTTACGTGTACTTGAATTATTTAGTGGTATTGGTGGTATGCATTGTGCTCTTGATTTAGTTGATCTCAATTATGAAATTATTGCTGCTATTGATATAAATCCAATAGCAAATCTAGTCTATTCATCAAATTTTCCTAATGTTCCAATAATGAATCGTACAATCGAAGGAATACCTTTAAATCAATGGGAAAAATGGCATGCAGATATTTGGTTAATGTCTCCTCCATGTCAACCATTTACTCGTCAAGGTAAACAAGAAGATTTAAATGATCGTCGTACAAATGGTTTTATTTATTTAATGAAAACAATACTTCCTCAATTACAATCAAAACCAAAATATATTCTTCTTGAAAATGTTTCTGGTTTTGAATATTCTCAAGCTCATCAATTATTATTAAATACACTTGAAACATATAATTATTATTATCAACAATATCTTCTTTCACCAATACAATTTGGTATACCTAATTCACGTCTTCGTTATTATCTTATTGCTAAACAAGAAGAAAAATCAATTGATATACATTCATCTTTAATACAAACTCGTATATCAAATTTTGAAAGATTATATAAAAAAATTCGTCAACAATTTCCATCAAAAGAATTTTTTCTTGAAGAAAATTCTTTTTATGAAAATGATCAAATAACTAATAAATGTAGTCATTCATCTGAAATACTTATTGATTCTAATCAATTAATGTTAATTAATGATTTTTTAATTTCAAATGAAAATTCTAATTTTGAATTAGATGAAAAACAATTAAAACGAGCTTTACATGTTTGTGATATAATTACTTGTCATGCAAAACGTTCATTTTGTTTTACAAAATCTTATGGAAAATATTTTGAAGGTACAGGTTCATTATTTCGAACATTATCAAATCGTATACGATATTTTACACCACAAGAAATAGCTAATTTACATTGTTTTCCATTAAATTATCATTTTCCTGAACAAATTACAATTCGTCAAGCATATTCATTGCTTGGTAACAGTTTAAATGTATTTGTTGTTGGAGTTTTACTTGAAAATCTTTTCGAGCGCTCTTCAACTTAAATTCAAATTTCTTTTTTCTTTTGTTTTGTTTTGTTTTATTTCTATTTTTTGTTTCAGATCAATATGAATCCTCGAACATTAAAACGTATATCTAATGTTCGTTTAAAAGCACGTAGTGAACTTCAATTAGATGAATGGCAACAAAATAATTATTATTATGATCAAAGTCTTATCACATGTAATAAAGATCAATTAGAAAGAATTGATGCAAGAAATATAACACGTGAAGATTTTATTGAAAAATATGAACGTCCAGCTAAACCAGTTATAATTCAACATTTAATTGATGATTGGCCAGCATTTAATAAATGGACTATAGAAAAATTAGGTAAAAAATATCGTAATCAAAGATTTAAAGTAGGTGAAGATGATGATGGTAAATCAGTTAAATTAAAAATGAAATATTTTCTTGATTATGCATTAAATAATCATGATGATTCACCATTATATTTATTTGAATCCAGTTTTGGTGAACATCCAAAAAAAAGACGTCTTATTGATGATTATGATGTACCAGATTATTTTTCCGAAGATCTATTCCATTTTGTTGGTGAACATCGTAGACCACCATATCGTTGGTGGTGTATTGGACCACAACGTTCTGGAACCGGAATACATGTAAGTTAAATAAAAAATTTATCTCTTCTCATCGTATCTATTCAAATCAAGTTAACAATCAAATGACAAATGAAATTATATCTGTGAATATTCCAGATTGATCCATTGGGTACAAGTGCATGGAATGCACTTATATCGGGCCATAAACGTTGGTGTATATTTCCACCATCAACACCACGTCATTTACTTAAACCAACATCAATTGATTCACCAAAACATAAAGATGAAGGTATTACATGGTTTAAAATTATCTATCCAAGAACACAACTAAGTACATGGCCAAAAGAATATGCTTGTATTGAAGCAATACAACATCCTGGAGAAGTTATATTTGTACCTGGTAAGTAAAAATAATATGTTATGTTTGTCTTGTTTCCTTTTTGTTTTTGTTTTAAAATTAATGTAGTTTATATTATAAGACAATAGTTTACTAACGTTATTGAATAGCGTAATCATGTTTGGCATGTTTTATATGATTAGGATGAATAAATAATAGAATGATCATTCATGCTAACTAGTGTCTTCTATAAAGAATGAATAAAGAAATGTATCATAATATGATTAAATGAAAATTTTATTACTTATTCAGAAGTAATTAATTGAAAAGTAGATTTACTGTTCATTAAGAAAATATAATCTTATCTTTCAAAATTTACTTACGAATCAATTTTTTCAGGAATCAAATCATTTTTCGTTTAAGACAATGTTCATTAGATGAATACTAGTGAAACTGAGTAAAATTTTGATATCTCAATAACAAAAGTAAAAAAAAAACCAAACTATGCTATTCTTTTTACTTTTAATTTTTTTTTCTACTATTGATTTCCTATGTGAGAAAATAATAACACCATTAATTAAAATTTAGAAAATTAGAGCAAATCTTTTATAACTAATAATACTTCTTAGAGGCCTAATTTATCTACTATGGCTGAATATCTGCTTCTGTTTCGACTATGAAACTGCCAATAAGACGAGTTTTCTTTTTTTTTTCTAAATACATCCATTACTTTATGCATTTTAAAATTTCTATAAATAAACTAATCGCCTACGGCAATAATAACGTTCATGTCACACTTTCATTTTATCTTTATATTGAAATTGAAAATAAGGTAAGTTTGTTTTGTTTCTATTCCTGTACATGACAAATTATCTCAAGAAGATATTTCTCAGATAATATAATTTAGCAAAATGGTAGTAGATTATTCCATTATTTAATCATCTACATAAGTCAATATTTTTTTTGTAATTAAAATTCAAAACAACATCAAACAATCTTTTATCGAGATTTTCTCTTATAATAAAGAAGCGATTTAAAAGTTCACGAAGATGAATATCTATTTTTTTTTTGTAGCATAGACATCTGGAAGGATGCCCTCCTTCGACGTTAGATAATACATTGGCATATTTTTTTTGTGTTTCTATTATAGGCGGTTATTGGCATGTTGTACTCAATTTGGATGTAACTATTGCTGTAACACAAAATTTTTGTTCATCAGTTAATTTTCCTACAGTATGGACACGAGTAGTTCATAGTCGGCCAAAAATGTCAAAAAAATTTCTCGAAAGTCTTAAACGTCGTCGACCAGATTTAGCACGATTAACTGAAAAAATTGATGTTACTGCAGATGCAGGTCCTCGATCAGATACATCTTCATCAAGTAGTTCATCAGCATCAGATGATTCATCACCTGATTCAGCTGATGAAAGTGATACAGAATCAAAATCAATAATCAATCAACAATCATTTGATCAAGGAGATGAACCATTAGCTAAAAAACAATGTATTTCATCGTTACAATAAATTATTGTTATTTGTTATTCTTATTCTTATTATTTTTTTTTCTGTATTAAACGAGAGAAGAAAATTTTTGCGTTCAAAAAAAAAACTGTGACGAAAATTTTTCTCATTGTATGAGTTAAAATTTCTCTTTATAGATTATTCTAGCCAAATAATTTCAATACTAACAATCATGGCAGAATTAGTACGTGATCAAAAAATTAATCTTGATGATCCACGATATGATCAAGAAACATATTCGGGTCGAGGTTTGTTTTGTTTTTTTATTTATTCTATTATAACTTTTTCTTGGTTTTTTTCTAATTAATTAGCAAAACATTTTTTTCTTACAACAAATCCATTAAATCTTCTGGCTAGTGATCATCAATTACAAGAAGGTAAAAATTAAAGAAGAAACAAATTTCAATATACTCTTCTTCGATGTATTTTTCATTTTTCTAGCAAAACAAATTGTTGAAGATTATCGTAGTAAAAGAATTACACGACCTGATATAACTCTTGATGAATTATGGGGTGCAAAATATTTATATGATAGTGCATTTCATCCTGAAACAAAAGAAAAAATGTTTATTCTTGGTCGAATGTCAGCACAAGGTTTTTATTTTAAAATATATTTGTATTTATTTTTCCTAAATAACTTTCTTCTTCTTCTTCTTCATCATCGCAGTTCCATGTAACATGCTGATTACTGGCTTTATGTTAACAGTAAAAAAAACCAACAGAATAATCTAATAAATTTTAAAAATGTTAATCTTTAATATTTTCCGTTTTTAGTTCTATAAAACGGCACCAGCTATTGTTTTCTGGCAATTTGTCAATCAATCGTTTAATAGTATTGTTAATTATACAAATCGAAGTGGTGATAAACCAATTACAAATACTGATTTAATGAAAAGTTATGCTGTTGCAACTTCAGTAAGTTTTTGTTTTTTTAGTTTTTTTAATCAAAAAGAATATATTCAAGTTTTTTAATAAGAAAAATACTTGATAAATTTCAAGTGATGATACATCTACAAATTTGGATCATGTTTGTACGTTATTTGATCGTATAATAACATTTGATTATTTCAGCTAAATACTTTTTATGATGATGATGATGATGATGATATTAATATATCTAATAAGCTAATAATAAATTCCCATTACTTGATTTCAGTTCTTACGAAAGAAAAAGAAATCTTGCAATTTTTGTTTTAATTAGTTTTATAATAGTCTATATGTTTATTATCGATTTTTAGGCTGCAACAGCTACAGCACTTGGTCTTAAAGGTAAACAGAATTTTTTTGTTTTGTTTCTATTAAGGCCCCTCCTCCCCTCAAAAATCGATCTCAACTATGGAACACCGAGATACCATGAAACTTTAGGATATGTTGAGGGTGTAAAAGGACGTCTATGATAAAATTTTCAGCCTCCTATCCTGATGTCTAAAGTAGATACGAACCAAACAAGGGTCGAAAAATAGCTTATCGTAGTCCCCAAAAATCTCTATGGATATTCATTCAATATGGTTCATTGTTTTTTCATTTGAAAGAGCATGTCAGGATGCAGTACCCATGATGGCCCTTTATTTTTATTCTTATCTTTAATAAGAAAAAAAGGGTTCATAAATTCAATGACTCAAAAATCCCTCAAAAAATTGATGCTTATATTATAAAATCGCTTTTCAATATAATAATAAGAAAGCTTTATCAAAAAAAGGACCCTCATAAGCACTGCAGTTTTTGATGCTTTTTCAAACAAAAAAAAAATATTTGACTTTATATCGGATTACAATTGACTTTTGGAGGGGCTACGTCATTCGACCACTATTTTGAGAAAAACGTAATACAATTTTTTTATGTGAAATTTCCAAGAAAAATTGTATATTATGTGAAAATCTCTGCTTAGTCAAAGGATATAATTTTCTTTCTTCTTCAGAAGTTTCTCTAGAAAAAGTTCTAATGAAACTGCATAAAAAAACATCTATTAATCTGATAAAATGGTCTTTCAAGGCGTTACCATAGATTTTTAAAATTTTTTAGACCTACTATCAGAATGGTTTTCTGAAAGATAAAGCGCTGTTAGAAGTTTGTACAAAAATAACCTACTGATCTATAATCAAGTGATCGTGATGACATAAACTAAACTATCTAACCGTTTTTTAACACTCAAGAAATACTGTTTTTGATGAAAAAATGACCTTTTTCTCCAATATCTTTTTTTTTTTGAAAAAATTTATGTATGATGCCGAAAATGCACTTTTTTGCGAAAACCTAGTTTTTTAGAGAACGAAACCTGAAAGTCATGTGGATTCTTAACGTTCAGGTATCATAGTATTCAGCTGTGCATTTATCTCAAATTTCGTTTTTTTGATGAAACTCGACATTTTTGAGAAGGGGAGGGGGGAGAAACCTTAAATAAAATTTCATTTATATCATTAATTCTCATATTAGCTGCTGTATCAAAATTACCACCAATTATGGCTCGATTCGTACCATTTGCAGCTGTAGCTGGTGCTAACTGTGTCAATTTACCATTTATGCGATGGAATGAAATTCGTGATGGTATTGCTGTATTTAGTAAAGATGGAGAACGTGTTGGAGGTGAAAATAAACAAAAAACAAAGATTTAATTTATTTCTTATATGATTTTTCTTCGTAAAAATTAGAATCATCAGTTGCAGCAAAGAAAGCTATTGCTCAAGTAGTTCTTTCACGTATTGGCATGGCTGTACCGGGTATAATATTTAAATGTATATCTTTTATTATTGAATATCTTTTTATTTTTCATTCTAGGTATGATTATTCCACCACTTATTATGGATAAACTTGAACGAAAAGCTTTTATGCGTGCTCGTCCATGGCTTAATAGTCCTATACAAATTGCTCTATGTGGTTTCTTTTTAACATTTACAACACCAATGTGTTGTGCTTTATTTCCACAAAAGAGTTCAGTAACTGTGGCTAAATTGGAAGGCAAACTTCGAGAAAAATTATTAGCTGATGGCATGAAAGAAACTGATCGTGTTTATTTCAATAAGGGTCTTTAAAATCTAATACAAAATTCATGAACACTGTGTGTGTACCCGAACATTGATTTTTTTTCCCCCCATAGCGAATCTTAAAAATCCTTGTTTAGCCGATCGATCCATTCCATATATTGTCTTACTCCTGTCCGTTGTATTTCTATGATTAATTGATCATTAAAAAATAGAAAGTAGTAGATATTTGACATCAAAATCCATATGATTACAACATTTTTAGATGGAAAATTATCAATTTGTTGTTATCGGTGGTGGTATATCTGGTGTGACTTGTGTAGAAAGTGTAAGTTTATTAAATATATTCTTTCGTATGGTTTCTTTTGAAGTATATAGAGTAGAAATTCGCACCTCTCCCAACAGATGTCTTAGCAACACTCTTTCCAGTGACGAATTTAGAGAAGACATCCTTCATCATAAAAATCTTAGATCCTCTACTAACTCTTCACCTCTTGCCGTGTCATAAACTATAACGAGATGTTATTGCATTTCTAGAAGAATAGATCCAAGAATAGATCCAAGAATGATGAAGAAATTTGTTCCAATAAAATAATCTTCCTGTGATTATTGTTTTTCACATTATAATTTTGTAAGGATTGTTTTAATATCTGTCTTTTTAAATAAATAGATTGCTACATTTGATCCTACTGCTCAAATTCTACTTCTCACAGGAACACCATTGATCAAAGCAATTACAAATTATGTTAAAGTAATATTTATATATATAATTATTTTTATATGATTTTTATTTAGGTAAGCAAATTTTTAGAAGAATTTGATATTGAAGAAAAACCTTTTCATTATTTGGCTGAACGATATTCAAATTTAATTATACAAAATAAAATTGTTGAACGATTAGATATTGATAAACAAGTAAAGAGAAAAACTTTTTTTTTTCTTTTGTAATAATTTTTATTATCTAATTAGATCATTATCTGTTCTGATAATACACAAATTCATTATGATCAACTTTGTATTTGTACTGGTGCACGACCCAAAGTAAACTAATGGTGAAAATTTTTTATCATATCAAAAATTGTTTCATTATTTATCTATTTATTATTAGTTACTTTCAAATAATAATCCTTATGTACTCGGAATTCGTGATACAGAAACTGTTGAATCATTTCAAAAAAAATTAATAACAGCTAAACAAATTCTTATTGTTGGTAATGGTGGTATTGCAACTGAACTTGTGTATGTAAAGATGATAATAAAATTCTATTAAATAATAATTATTAATGAATAGATATGAAATTGAACATTGTTCAGTTATATGGGCAATTAAAGATGAACATATTTCAACAACATTTTTTGATGAAGCTGCTGCTCGATTTTTTCTTGATCGTATTCAAATGGTTAAAGAAAAACAAAAATTAAATGAAAAAAGACAAAAATATGAAATTGCTGATCAAACAAATATTCAAACATCATCATCAAGCATATGTGGTGGAGCTTTAGGTCCTGATTGGGTAGCAAATAGATCAATGAAAGGTGCATTTTCTGTAAGTAAATAATATTGTCTTGAATAAATCTTCTAAAAATTTAATTTGTCTATCGTTGTTTTTTTTCTTCAAGCAACCTCGACAAGTTCATATTGAATATAAAGTTGAAGTTAAAAATATTCTTACACCTGAACAATATCAACAACGAAAATTAACTATTGAAAATCTTCAATCATCTGAAGGTAAAAAAATTCTTTTTTTTTTTTTTTAAATTTCTCGTCCCTTTTTTTCATTTCATATTTAGAAGAAATTCAATGGCCAGTATATGTTGAATTAACTAATGGTAAAATTTTTGGTTGTGATTTTGTTGTGAGTGCCATTGGTGTAATACCTAATGTTGAACTTTTTCTTCAATCAGCAGATGTAAACAAAAAACTTTTTCATTAATTCAATAGAATTTTTTCTTTATATAAAAAAAAATTTAGTTTAAATTAGGTACTGATGGTGGTTTATTAGTTGATGAAACAATGCGTACATCAATAAAAAATATTTTTGCTTCTGGTGATGTATGTACAGCTGGTTGGACATTAGCAGAACATTGGTTTCAAGTATGTAAATATTTTTATTCAAATCATTATTAATTTTATTAATTAGATGCGTCTTTGGTCACAAGCTCGTCAAATGGGACATTATGCTGGTAAATGTATGTTAGCATATGCACATAATCAACAAGATTCATTAACAATGGATTTTTGTTTTGAACTTTTTGCTCATACAACAAAATTTTTTAATATGAAAGTTGTTTTACTTGGTAAATATCATGAAAATGATATGAAAAAATATGATAATCTTATTCGAATGACTCCAGGTAGATTTTATTCTCTAATGATGAATAAAATAAAATGTTTAGTTTTCTTTTTTTGTTTTCGTCTATTTTTTATTAGGTGAAGAATATATTCGAATAACATTAAAAGATGGACGAGTATATGGTTGTATTTTTATTGGTGATACTGAACTTGAAGAAACATTTGAAAATTTAATATTAAATCAAATCGATGTTAGTTCTTACGGTGAAACTCTACTCGATCCAAATATTGATATTGCTGATTATTTTGATTGATAATATGATTTTCTTGTTTTTTAAAAATAAAATATAGACCATTTTATATTTCACTTTATGTAATAAAGAAAAAATCCAGGATATAGTCACTATCTTTGTTAATTCTGCAAAAATGTTTCATTTGGAAAAGAAAAAAGATTGATTTACTGTATATATTTGCTCGTTTTTTTAAAAATTACAAGATGACTCTTTTCTTCTTGTAATCTATACATCTATTTACATATGACTGTATTAATAGAAATGGCCACAACTGTTTCTAATGGCAATAGACTATTATAGAAACACATAGAAGAAAAACAATTTTGATTTTCAATAATTCTAAAAACGAATGTGACGTTATTATTCAAGTTAAAATGTTTTCTGTTGTTGTTTTGTTTTATTTACTTCTCTTAGAATTACCGATCAATCGTAGTATCAATAGTGAACAAAATTCTCTAATTGTAATCGGTAATAAAAATATTACACATCAAAGTAATTTAATTACTGAATCATTTTCAAAACTATCTATCGATGGACCATTTTATTGTTATGTTACATGGGTGGATAATAAACAAATAATTGATATTTATACAGATAATAATATTCATCCATATATTATAATTCATATTGAACAAGATACATTAAAAATAATGATTCAATCTGATGGAAATTTTAAATTTACTCAAATGGATATTTATCTGTATATACGTCCAACAGTGAATGAAATCTTCTTAACTGGAATTAGTACTTTACATAGTACAAATGTATTAAAAATTGATAATCTATTAAAATTACATACACAAGGTATGATGATAAACAAAATTTTAATATTTTGAATTTAATTATACAAAAAAAAAAAAAATAAACAAAATCATTTTAGATACGAGTAGTCTAATTCTTCAATTAGATGTATTCAATCTTGATGCTCTCTTTTTATCAGCTGGAACAACGAAATTAAACGGTCATGTAAAAGACAAAGGTATAATTAAATACATGGGTATTGGAAATGTTGATGCATCTCAATTATTTTGTAAATTTATCGATGTTGAAGCTAATGGACTCGGTACTATATGGATAACGGGTACAGATGAATGTATTATCAAAGCTGAAGGTGTGAGCATTGTAAGATACAATTGTTCTAATATAAATTATACTCAATTGGCTGGTTTGGCAAAAATAATTCCAATTTAATTCGTCTTAATTTTCTTCATTATTTTATTTGAAATAATTTTTCTTATATACTAGATTTATTTCAGCATAGGTTTTTTTTAATTGTTCTATTGATAGTTTATACTATGATATATATAATCTTGATTGTTTGTCTCATACCTCAACTGGTCATCCGATAGGCATTTTGACGCATCGAAACATCACACGTATCCACCCATGGAATTCTTACTTTCCGATAGGTCAGTAAAACGTGAGGTTTTCGATCAGTCGAAAGATTTTTACTGAGGAAATCAAAATAAAAAGGATTTTTTCCTATAGGATGCCTTATTCTCGAGTCGTTAAAACCTATTGAATAAATGCGAAGGAGGAGATTCGAATATCTAAACTAAATATAAACTATTGTTCTTCTATGAAAGTCATTTGTTCAATTCTTAGAAGGATAGTACTCTCAAGATTGTTATTTTAATATTTGCTAACAGTTTTCGAAAATTAAAAAACAAACAACATTTTAATCGAATAAAAATACATTTTACGTGTCTCTAACTACAGAAAACGTTTTTTTGGGGGAAATTTCAGATACCACATAAGGAGCTTATTTGATAAATAATTGATTTGTGTGATAAAATATAAAATCAATATTAACACATTCAGCCCGATTCCGTTTTATTACAGAATAGCTCTAGCAGACTCATTTTTGTGTGCACTCGTTGTCCTTTTCATTCTGTGCTGGCTCGTTGTTTTCTCTTTTCTGATTGGTATATCACATGAACAGTTGTATCTAGGCATCACATACTGATTTTTATCAACATGACGTATTGGGTTTTTCCCAGTATGTTATCAGATGTTCTATATTGAACTTTTCCTAATAATTTACTCGTTTACGTCATACTTGGTACTTTCCAACATGCTTATCTATGTATGTGTCGGTGCTTCTCTCCTTGCAGTCATTCGCTATTACATTCACTATTTAACTCGTTCTCTTGCTAATTCTATTTTTCCCTTTCCTTTTCACTATTGTAAAATCCCCTTTAGTGACATTGAGTACGTATATCTTGGTTGTTTTAACGAGAAGCATCATGCTATGGAATAAATGACTCAAAAAATACTGAAGACAGAGCAGATGACACATTATGTGTAACCTTCTGCCTAAGTAAAAGGCAAAAGGAAGTGGTTTTCTGTACAGTGTCTTCTTAAAATATAGTGCAACCTACCGGTGGGTCACATCGGACTGAATATGTTAAAAAAAAGCTGTGCAAACATTCAAAACATAAAATTCGTTATGGCTGTTTTTTTCGTCAAAAACACTAATGGATTTCGGTGTTACTAGTTATTTTTCATTAGGAATGTTAAATGTGTTTTAGAAAATTATGAATTTAAAGGAAGTATATGTCAAGCATAAATGACCCTACTAAAGTAGCTGAATGAAAGAGATATATGTAAACTGTTATTCTGCTAGACTTGCTTCTATTGAAGTACTCAATATTATGCTTACGATATGTTTCTTTTCTCAAGTATTCGAAACTTCGATATTTATTGAGGGATCTAAAAGTGCCTGAGGAGCTGAAAATGAATATCTAATAGGATACAGTTTTCGAGTGGTTCAAAAGCGGAAGAGAACTAACAAAAAATATATATTTTGAAATTTTTCAAGCACTTGAGCAATCCATCATATGCTTGGATATTATTCTCAAAAAACACCATGTCTGATATATGATTCATAATAAAGAAAAAGAAAACCTACGTCAATGAATATAGGATCATGCAATCTCATATTTACCTGTGGGCAAATACTTCATTATTCTTTATCGTTGTAGAAAATTTATTTTGTGACTTTTATTTTCATTCACTGATAGAAAAAGAGAGAGAGAGAGAGAGAGAGAGAGATCGCATTTAAGTGACCCGTTTCTCTTTTTATTATATCAGTATTTATAATAAGAATGCTAATATATGAATATCAATTCTAACGGCTATATATGACAAATACAAGTGTAACAACTGATAATACAATAGAATTTATACGTATTTATATTATTTGTCGTTGTCTATATTTAATTATTTTTGTTATTGGTATTATTGGAAATATATTGAATATAATAGTTTTTTGTCGAAAAAAACTTCGTTCAAATTCATGTTCAACTTATTTTATAGCTTATTCAATAAATAATTTTATGAATTTGACTATTGGTTTATTTATGTGGTCATTAACTTTTGGTTTTAATCTAGATTTAGAATATAAATCAGTAACTTATTGTAAAGCTCGTCGATATTTTACACATGTTAATTTTCTTCTATCATCATGTTTATTAACAATGGCATCAATTAATCGTTATGCACGTGTTCGTCAAGCACAATTAACAAAAAATCATCATCGTTATATAATTCTATGTGAACGTCGAACAACATATATTATTATTAGTTTAACAATTATTTTTTGTTTACTTGTTAATATACATATTCCAGTACTTTTTGAAATATCTGACAATGATTGTTATGCTCGAAAGGGTGTACATAGAATTTTATTTGATATTTATTTTCTTGTTTTCTATGCTTTACTTCCTCCATTATTAATGGTTGCTTTTAATATAGCAACTGTCAGACATATAAGATGTATTAAAAAATTAATACATCCAACAGTATCTCGTGGTGAATATCAGTTTATTATTCTTGTTATGGCACATAGTTTTTCAAATGTAATTTTTACAATACCATATACAATTAATAAATTTATTTATTATACATTTGAAAATGGTACACCATCAGAAAAAGAAAAACTTATTACTACAATAACACTTTTAATTGCATTTATGAATCCTGGATTTTCATTTTATTTATACACATTAACAACAAAATCTTTTCGATCTGAATTTATTCAAGTTTGTAAAGAATTTTTCATTGGAAAAATGTCTTATTCATGTCAAAATAAAATGAATGATATTACAACACAAAAAACTGATGTAACTAGTTTACGTTCTTCTATACCAACGGTATTATCAGAGAAATATTAACACTGTAATAGTTCTTACTTTCTTTTTCTTACATACATTAAGTCTAGATACTCTTGTATTTGCAGAATTTTTTTCTTTATCAATAAAATGAACAAAGATCATAGTGTTATTCTTGTTTTTTGAGAAATATACACGTCGATAAAAGTATATATATATAGATATCTATTGAATAAAATACAGTTGAACGACTTAATAGAAATTAATATACGATGTAAAAGTCTTTGAAAAAATCTCAAACTCTGATGATACCATATTGCCGATTTCTAAGCCAATAAAATCTTTTTTTTTGTTAGAAAGAGCAATGTCTAAACTACAAATTTTGTACGAGATATATTTTTCCAGAATGAACTTGACGATGAAGAAAGGTTCAAAAACCAAATACACCCACACCCTCAATTTTTCGCAACAGCATTTTTTATTTTCTGTTAAATTTTTTTAAAGCAGAAAGGAAGTAAAAAATGAAACATACAATTATCGCTAATTTTTTTAGAGTAAAGAGTGCTCTTTTCAATGATATATTGGAAGTTAAATTTCCTCTTGGTTTGTATACTAAATATGACTTTTTCTTAGAAAAAAAGCACTGAGTAAGTTGGTCGTTCTTATTACCTAAACGTTTTTGCAATAGTAAAAAAATTTCTTTCGAATTATTTTCTCTGCTAAATTTCTATGATATGAAATATTTTGAATAAATAATGCAAAAATATTTCAGTTCATACAAAATTTCTGAAGATTGTGGTTGATGTTCTTGCAAATTGATATCTCTTGAAAAAGACTATAGTTTATAAAACTTTTTGATTAAAGATCAAGAAGCAAATCTAAAAGGTTTTGCTGAAAACTGATATCAATAGAATTTCTGATGCGCTACATTTTGATGCACTTTTGTTCCCACTTGATTCGTTCATGTAGCTCAAAACAATTCAGAAATATAGACTTTTTAAATTGAAAAAATATTGCAAGAACTTTAGCGAAACACGATTTGAAAGGAGTATTGAAGTATATAGGGTAAAAATGCGGACATACTCCTCTTCGTCTCCCTACCGTGGTAGACAACCTTGAAGACCCATCACAGATCATGGTAGACATCTTGAATGTGTGCAAAATTAAAGAGAGCAGCTATATCGTGTTTCGCCATTTTAATTCCACAGGGATTGCGCTAACATATTTTTTAGACGTGTTCGGCTTAGGGCTTTTCCCTCGTCGTCAAGTTCCTTTTCGAATAGATATCCGTCTATAAATATCATACATTAGCAAACATTGAAATCAATTTATTCTTAATTATGACTGTGAGACTAAACTCAGTTACATATGATTTTGACAGAAGAGACAATTTTCTGTCAGTTGATGACAAAAATATCTAATATTCTTACAAACTATTTCTATTAATAAGATATAATTGCGAGAAATATACTTTTGATCACCAAAAAAAGTTGAAATTGATCACCATTTTTTTTTGTTGCGAAATGATCACCAAAATAAGATACAAATGATCACCATTTTTTTTTCTTGTGAAATGATCACCAAAAAAAGAGACATTTGATCACCAAGTTAATTAACTTGTAATGTTCGATAATATATTACTTTTATGAGATATAGATAACATGGTTTTGATAAATCAAATGTTTATCGTGAACTTTAATTGATTAATATAACAGAGTTAACTCTGATTGAGCTAAACTCATTTTGTTGAAATGATCCAATTAATAAAAATAGTTTAAAAAGAATATTTTGCCATGAGAAATTATTCCATAAAAATGTCTAATAATGGATGGAAATTGCTACACATTGCTGAATCATATGAAGAAACAAAAGAATTCGTTACAGAAAAGTACAATGTTTGTCAATACCGGCGATCAGATTTAAAAAACGAAATCAAATACTCATTCAAATATAGCAAATACAGAAAATATCCATTATGCTCATTTGAAATAAAAGTTATTGTGCCTGACAACAATATGGAATCAATTAAAATAATGTCAAGAAATACACATCAACATGAAGAAAATGAAAGAAATCCAACGACGAGGTTACCATCATCAGTACGTCAATGTGTGTCTAATCACGTCAAATGCGGATTAACAGAAACTCAAATTAAAAAAACGCTGGCCATTAATTATCCTCAAGCATCAGTTGATGAAATTAAATTACACAATTTGATTACATATGAACGAAGAAAAGATAGGCCAGAAATATTTTCTATTTACTTCTTCATAATAAATTTGGTGATCAAATGTCTCTTTTTTTGGTGATCATTTCACAAGAAAAAAAAATGGTGATCATTTGTATCTTATTTTGGTGATCATTTCGCAACAAAAAAAAATGGTGATCAATTTCAACTTTTTTTGGTGATCAAAAATATTCATGCCCATATAATTGTGTTATTATTTTTACATCATATGTTAATTGAATTGAATGTCTAGTCTATCGATAAACGAAAATGAGATATAGAACAGATGACAGAAATAATGTGTCTTTTTATAATAAAAAATTCTCAACAATCTTTTGAGTTTGAACAAAAAAAGTCTATCCGTGTAATATACTTGTACTTTTTCTTCTTTTCCTTTAATAACAATATTTTGTATGTAAAGATCAATGTAAATAAAAAAAAGGAAAAGATGTCTATCTATCATGCAGAAATATCTCAATGTATATTTATCGATCAACTGATAATGTCACGATTAATATATGAGACTGTTGATAAAAAATTACAAGTAAGAAAAAATTATTTCTTCTCTCGTTTTTGTTAAAATCTTCAGCTTTAAAAAATTATCACTTATAACATTTAGTCTTGTTTCTTGATATTCTAAGTTAGTAGGAAATAATTTTCGTTCTTATTACCATTGATTTCCTTTTTTATGAGTTTTTTTCTTGTTGCTTATTCATATTACACACTATTAGTTAGTTAATTTGCAGTTCTGTCTTATATGACAAGGACAATATACATGTTAGATTCGCAGTACACTATTCTCAAGATTCCATTCTATCACAACCTTCGTCCTAGAAAGACAGCTGGTGATTTTCTTTTTTTTTTTTGCATGATAGAATTCATATTAAAAGAATGTCTCAACAGTATAATAATGACGAGAATAGAATATTTTCTATGAAAATATGTCTTGTGAAAAAACTCTATTATTCTTATGTCGACAATTATACACTTGGTAGATATAATTCTTTTTGTTTTGTTCTTTAGAGTTGTTATCAGAAACTTGAAAATTTATATCGATCCTTTTTTAAAAATAAGTAAGCATAAGTATTAAGTCTACAATTTTGAAAAATGTTCGTCTTCTTTCCAGTGAATTTCTAGCATTTTATTCACCAGTTCTCAAAAAACTGTTCAACCTTTTCCCTTCACAAATCCAATCAATCAATTTTATCAAAAATCTTCTTATCAGTCTTCTGAGTCATCGCCTTCCCTCCCTACCCAATCCTGACGACCTTGAGACATCCCCCATGTGAGGAAATGTTGAGAATCAAATAAGAGAGTCCCATTTTATGATTTCGTATAAAAGGAGTTGTCTTTTTCTTTCTCTTTCTCACTCAGATGTTGATAACAGCAAAAAACCTTGATTGATAGTATGCGCCCTCTGCTCTCTATCTATTTCATATGTCATAAAATCTCATTGATATATAATATTTTCATTCTAAATTACAGGTATTTCTAAATTTTTCTTATTATTATATTTGAATTTATGATAGTTTCAATTACTATCTAATAGATGTCGCTATAGTTATATTGTTTTTATGTTTTTCTGTAAACTTAGCCTATTTATTCTTTTGAAAATCTCTAAGAAATTCGTTATCATATCTTTTCTTCTTCTTGATAGTTATAGTATAATATTAAATTATTATAATGAGTAATACGATTGACTAATTGAAATAGTTTACTGTTCGTTATATGTTATTAATCAAATTTATTCATCTATTCTTGATTTAATGAAAATCATTTCTTTAAAGAATACCTATCGATAATACTTTTGTATTTCGTTTCATTGAAAATATTTATGTAGACAAAATTTGAATGTGTTCACTTTTTTTTCGTGCATATGAAATTGAAACCTGTATTATAAGAAGAAACAAAAAAAAGGTTTAACTTTAATCCACCGTTAATAGAGAATGTAGTAACAATTAAAATCCTATTTTAAATGTATACATTTGAGATAATATTCGATTGATTAAATCTATCCTTTAGTCAATATTTTTCTCTTAGGAAAAAAATAAAATTTTTTTTTTTGTTCTTTCCTTGTTTCTAACGAAACAAAAGAAAGTCTATTGTTGATTTAACAACAATAAGAGGCGCGACTGCTCAAATATTAATTGAATGGATAATGGACTTATTTAACAAAAAAAAAAAGAACCGGGTAATCACAATATTGTTTATAACATTATGCATCATCCATTTAGTTGATGAATGTCGAATATTATTTAAAAAAAGTTATTTCTTTTTCTTTTTTTTTGTAGATTCGAACAGGTGCAATCGATGAGAATGATGTAATTAGAATAGTCGGTTAATACATCTTTTTATTTGTTTTTTTTCTCCTCTATGATGTTCCCCTCCATTATTTTAACGTTTATCTTCTATTTTGTGCTATTATTCACAACTTATTTAACTCTAATTTCGTCAAAATCGATTGTTATTGAAATTAAAGGTGATTGTTCAACAATTGGACAAAAAATTGCACATGAACATGGATATCGTTATGTTCGACAGGTTTGTTTTATTTTGATTTTGATTTTGTTAAAGTTTTTGGTTTAGATTTTTGATGGTTTTTGTGAAATTGAAGAAGATCCATCGTCTGAAAATCATAAACGATATCGACGAGCTATTGAGCAAGGAATTGATCCAGTTGAAATTCTTTTAGAACATGAACATGTAAATATATAATAAACAAAAACAAAAAGAATTTCTCTTGATTTTATTTATTAATTAGGTTGAATGGGCTGAAAGTCAAATACCAAAAAAACGACAAAAACGTGAATTTATTTTTAATGATCCACAATGGAATTCTATGTGGTATTTGGTAATGAATAGAATAATTTTTTTTTTGTTTTTTGTTTTCATAGAATTACTTTTATTTTAGATGAGAAATTTACAAATACCTACTTTACCAGATTTAAATGTTACTGGAGCTTGGGAAATGGGTTATACTGGTCGTGGACAAGTTGTTACATTTCTTGATGATGGTCTTGAATTTGATCATCCAGATTTATTAGAAAATTATGTTTGTTTATTTGAAAATTTTCTACGATTGAGATGTTTTGATTTCTTTATATTGATAGGATAAAGAAGCTAGTACAGATATAAATGATAATGATGATGATCCAACACCACGTTATGAACCAACAAATGAAAATAAGTAAGAGAAAGTCCAAAAAAAAAAGAATCTATTGATTAATTTCTCTAGAAAAATGAATTTATTTTTAGACATGGAACTCGATGTGCCGGTGAAGTAGCAGCAAAAATTAATAATAATATATGTGGAGTTGGTATTGCATATCATGCTAGAGTTGGTGGTATTCGAATGTTAGATGGTGATGTAACAGATAGTGTTGAAGCACGATCACTTAGTCATCGACCTAATCATGTTGATATTTATTCTGCTAGTTGGTAAATAAATTTTAAAATTATGTAATTATGATATATATATATATGTGTCAGGCAAAATTGAGATTTAGGCAAAATTAAACAAAGCTATTAAAAGACTTGAAATTTTAAAAAAGTTAAAAAACATAAAAATAAATAGTTGATCCTATAAATTTAAGTTAAGTTATATTCAACTTTAATTGAAATTTAACTCAGTTTAGGAAGATGTAGAGTTCGCCACTTTTTTTAATGCAAATCTAATTAAAACTTAGGAAGATGTAGAGTTCGCCACTTTTTTCAATGCAAATCTAACTAAAATTTAGGAAGATGTAGAGTTCGCCACGTTTTTCTATGCAAATCTAAATAAAATATAGGAAGATGTAGAGTTCGCCACTATTTTCAATACAAAGTGTATTGAATTTAGGAAGATGTAGAGTTCGCCACTTTTTTCAATGCAAATCTAACTAAAATTTAGGAAGACGTAGAGTTCGCCACTTTTTTCAATGCAAATCTAAATAAAATATAGGAAGATGTAGAGTCCGCCACTTTTTCCAATGCAAATATAAACAGCATATTGTAAGATGTAGAGTTCGCCACTGTTTTCAATACAAATTGTATTGAATTTAGGAAGATGTAGAGTTCGCCACTTTTTTCAATGCAAATCTAACTAAAATTTAGGAAGATGTAGAGTTCGCCACGTCTTTCTATGCAAATCTAAATAAAATATAGGAAGGTGTAGAGTTTGCTACTGTATTCTATTAAAATTTAATTGATTTTAGAAATTTTTAGAATTGGTCAGTATAGTCTGTCGAAATCTCGTTGAGTTTTGAAAGGCGAGAAATTCGAAAGATTAGACAATATATATTGTTTGAATAGCAGTCAATTATAGTCTTTCAACGAAGTTATTGATATTTTTTTCACTCTTTTAATAATTTATTGTCGTTGAGTTTTTTATATCAACAATTTGTTTTGATTCTGATTTTTATTAACAAGATCTGTTTATTCACAGAAAACTCGATAAATAGACTTATGTGGACATTGTCTTTCTTACGATTCAATATAAAATGCTATCAACAAAAACTGTGATAAATATTAATCTCTCGGAAAGTCATTTATATATGATCACCGTAAGAATAGCGGATAAAATATAATGAATCACATAGATGATTCAATAATCAATCATAATATGCCTGAAACATGTTGCTATGGATTAATAGAGTTCTTTTGTTGATAAATAGCACAATATTTACATCTAAACTTTGATCATTCAATCAAAAAAACAGCTATTCCAGTTACGCTAGCAGAAAACGCCTACCCGACCAAAAAAAGAAAAAAAAAGGAGGAGGACTAAGATTATGTTTATTTCAATCCTTTTTCACATCTTTGTTCATATACTTCAAGGGTAAAGTTCTGTTTATTCTATATGTTTAGAATATTAATGTGAAAGATAGATGTTAAAATGTTCAAAAACGAACTTGTTGGCAATATTGATAATATTGGTTTTTGTAATATTTTCTTTTTCGACATGAAAGACAAAGTATTATAAAGATTTTTAAAGGACATCGATTATACTTCTTATAGTTCATCGATAAACTCTATCTAGACATTTATCGCATCATGCATTAGTCGTGTGGGGAAAAAAAAGAAAATTTGTCAACGAATAACTTTTTAATCTCTTATGATACTGGAGAAAAAAGTGTAGCTGTTTAATGAAATATTCAGCTACTCCTGTCTTCTAACTGATATATTTCGAGCAAGGACAAAAAATGACAAAAATTCGTCAACTAATACCCTTTTGATCTCTAATAATATTGATGAAATAACCGTAGCTGTTCTATGATTACTCAGCCAGCCATTTATGGTAACTGATCTATTTCGAGCAAGGGCCGAAAAAAAAAGAAAATTCGTCAACTAATAACCTTTTAATTTCTAACAACATTAAAGAAATAAGCGTAGTTTTTTTAATAAATACTCAGGTACTCATTTACTCTAATCGTTTTATTTCGAACAAGGATCATTTCAAGAATTGAATTCTTTTACCTGCTTGTAATAAGTTATCAAATCAATTAAGATATGTATGAAAATGTTTAAATAAGTACAATGATTTTTATGTAGCGGTAGACCTTCAATTGCTGATTATAAAAAGAAGTCCAACACGAAATTTTGTTAGAAGTCAATTAGACACTTTAATCATATAATAGCTGTATATATTGTTTTTCCAACTAAGCTCTTTTAAAAAGTTATCATAATGTTTAAATTGTGACATGAAGTACGGCTGCAAACGAAAGGTTGTTACAAAACAATTAGCTACTTAATCATCAAGTAGCTGTATATTATTCAAAAAAGTATTTCGTTTGAGAAGCTACGGTTTCAACATGATTATATTTCTAAACATTCTTCATCGCTTCAAATAGTAGCATCGGTTAATCAATTTTTACATCGCATAGTAAAGTTTTCAAGTCAGTATTTTGTACAACAAAAATGCAGCACCAAGGTGTAAAACGTTAATCGAAATCTGTTGAAGACTTATTCATAAGGCGATGAAGAATGATCTTTTCATTCATGCCTTGTATGAGTACAATCTTTTCTCTAAATCTGCTATTGAAAGATTAAAGATGTTTACTTGCTTGTTCATAAAATTGTTTTCGAGATTCAATTTCTGATGTTGAATGAGAAGTCATCACTGTACTTATGATACGATTACATATGTGAAAATGAATGTTCTGCTTTTTTATTTACAGTTTATGTAAACGAATAATTATTTTTTTCTATTGATAGTCAGATCAACAATCAATAAAAAAAATTTTCCTTTTTCGCGCCTACTAAAACTAATTTTACCTAAGTTTAATTTTGCCTAAAGTTTAATTTTGCCTGGGACATATATATATATATTTTCTTTCTTCAGGGGACCAGATGATAATGGTCTTGTTGTTGATGGACCTGGTCGTTTAGCAAAAAAAGCATTTGAAGATGGTGCTTTACATGTAAATAAAAAAAAAGTTTATATTTTGATTTTTAATGACTTAAATTTTAGGGACGAGGTGGTAAAGGATCAATATTTGTTTGGGCTAGTGGAAATGGTGGTCGACAATCAGATTCATGTGCATGTGATGGTTATATTACTTCAATTTATACTGTATAATAAATAAATAAATAAAAAAAAAACAAATAATTCTAATTTAAATATTATTTTTCTAGATTGCTATTAGTGCAACAACAGAACGTGGTAATAAACCTTGGTATCTTGAAGAATGTTCAGCTACTCTAGCATCAGCATATAGTAGCGGTCAATCAAATCTTGGTGAACGTGATATTGTATGTATTATGAAACTGTGATTAGGAATTTTGCTTTTTTTTGTTAATAATTATATTTATTGTATGATTTTATTTTAAAAAGTTTACAACGGATTTAAATCATGCATGTACAAGTCATCATACGGGTACATCAGCTGCAGCACCATTAGCTGCAGCTATTTATGCTCTTGTTCTTGAAGCAAAGTATTATGTTAAAATTCATATTTTGATTTGAAAAAAAAAATTATTATTATTTTGTTTTTTTTATTAATCTTTTAGTCCTAATCTAACATGGCGTGATATAATGCATATAACAGTTCTTGGTTCTCGTCCTGATGCTATTCCATCGAATACAAATCTTGTTCGAAATGCTGCTCGATTTAATGGTAAAATTCTATAAATGATATTTTGCTTTTTTTTATATTATTTAAATTTTTTTTTTGTTTTTTCTAGTAAGTAGTAGATTTGGTTTTGGTCTAATGGATGCTGGTTTAATGACATGGTATGCAAGTGGTTGGGAAAATGTTCCACCAATGTCAACATGTGAATCGAAAACAACTTCTCCTAGAGGAATGATATTAGGACGTTCAGAACAAATATTTGGATTAGATTCAATTCAATGTAAAAATACTATTGATCCAAAACATGAAGTTAATTATATTGAACAAGTACAAGTATTTGTTACTTTAACAACAGATAGACGTGGTGATATTGAAATTTATCTTTATTCACCATCAAATACAAGAACACAACTTTTACCAGTAAAATTTCATAAGAAAACAAAATACACAAATGAATTGAATACAAAAAAATTTTTTAGAGACGTGAACGTGATCAAAGTAATAAAGGTTTTCAAGATTGGCCATTTTTAACAGTGCAATTATGGGGTGAAGTACCACATGGAAAATGGCAACTTCAAATTGTTAATACTGGCTCAGGTTCAGGTAAATAATTTAATATTTATATTTATTAATATAAACTAATATTACTATTCAAAAACTTATCGAAGTATTTAAATAGCTTAATGTTTGTAATTGAATTGCATGTCAAATCGTCTACAAGAATTACGCAATATAAAAACATCACCTAGATTTCTTTTTGGATTATATATTGAAAACTAAATATATCTTTACATAAAAATTGTATGACAACTAAAATGTTATTTCCTCAATTACATAACATAATTGATAAAATTTCCTTGTTTCATTTGTTCTAAATTAAACCTAAAATCATTTCAACCTCAGTCAAAAATTCATCTTAGGATACGTTTGAGCTATATTAGAGAGACTATAAAAAAAAAATTTCTCTCGATGGGGTTTTATTCTATATAATTAATAAATTTTTCTTTGTAAGAACATGTTAGAATGTGATAAAGTCCTTTTTTAAATATATATAATCACGATTCACAGAGAATTCCGGATTGCATTAGCAATCAAGTGGAAGACAACGGAAATTATCAAAAGTTTTGGCAACAAAAAATCATGTCTCTCATCAAAGATTAGACCTTGGATTTCGATTTTTCTGACAAAAATTAGTTATTGTTTTTTTTTTGAGTAGGATAGAAGTTTATAAGTAATATCAGCAGCATGTGTTAGTTTTCTCTTCGAATATTTGCAAAAGAAAGTTGATTATAAGATTTTGACCTACAAACAGAATATATGTAGATTACATATTGTCGAAACATCAATAGAGATGGTGCTGCTTTCGCCGTAATCCTTCTATTGAGATCTCAGCAGTACATATTAGAACTTTATAATACATACACTTGACACTTATATTCGTGTTTGTCATAACTTGAAATGATAAAAATTTAATATATATTTTCTAATTGTATTTTTTAGCTACATTAGTATCCTGGAAATTAGTTATTCATGGTACACGTGAATATCCTATTTCACCTCGTTCAACACATATGCAATTACCATTTGAAGCAGATCGATCTAGTGTAAGTCTTTATCCGGCGTTCTATTCTGATTCGTCATCTCAATCTATATTTTCTTTTTGTTATTTATTCATATATGTTCTTCTATTTCAAATTATTTTTTATTTAAATTTCTAATGGAAAATGTGATAGTAGTTTTTCTTTATTGTTTGTTTTTATTTTCTATAATAATTATTATATATTTTTTTCTTCTCTATAATTATAAATTTTAATCTCATAAGTGTTCTTTTAATAATGAATGATTTAGTTTGTGAACGGTGCTTCTCCTTCTTCTTCTTCTAGCGTGTTTTTAAATCTTTGCATACAATTAATTATCATCATCATCATTGGCCACAATCTCAGCGACGTATTCAAACATTGCAACCAACTTTTACAAGAACATCATATTATTATTATTACAATCGATTCTTTTGGCCTAATCAAAATTGGTTTTTTTTACATCATAGTTAATCTTTTTTTGCGTTTTTTTTATACATTCCAATTGTTTGTTTTTTTGAACAGTGGCGTTTTCTCAGGTTTTGACGATCAAAAACTACACAACATTGTTGCTATAATCTTTTTATATATACAAAAACAAAACAAAAAAAGAACAGTATGCATGATTGATCAGTCTTCCTCTTTCGCATATTTTTTTTTCATTATTGCTATTTTCTACTTTCTAATAAAGTGAACAGTTAGAATTTTGTATGCTTTTTGTTTTTTGGTTAATCTTTAAAAAAAAAGACAGAAAGAACAAAACTTATAATAATGAATATTGTTTAGAAAGCGATACGGAAAGCTAATGAGGTAAAAAAAAAATAAAGAAAAAAAAATTATATATATATATATATCTTAATGTTTATAATACAACCTATTGTTTATTGTCGTATTCTTTGTTTGTTTATGTGTTATATAAATGTGATGATACTGATATTACGGATGATGATAAGTGTTTAATTATATTATCGTAAATGTATTTAAGCTTTGTTTTCTAATGTGCTCTTTCAATTGATATCGATTAAAACGCTGCTCTAATATTTGTGATTCTTTTTCCCTAGCGTTAAAAAACTTATTGTAGATCGCTCTGATTTTTTTTTCAATTGATTTTATTTTGTGTAATTATTGAATACTTTTTGTTACAGTGTCACATCGAATGTAAACTTGATCAACCATGTGGTAATACTGACACAAATTGTACAGCATGTCGACATTTTAAACAACCATTAACTGATGGAAAATTGTAAGTTAATAATCTTTTAATATTCATTTGTCTAGACTTTTTTTTCAAAAAGTCTATCGTATAATTCTCTACAAAATGATATATCATTTTCTGAACCTATTCATATTTTATTGTTAGGATACGGCACGAGTGATGCACATTCTTGTTAGATACTGATCGAGCGTGATATTATGTCTCGTGATCAAAAATGATCATTTGCATCAGATTAGAGATTTAATCAGAACAATACAAAACCGTATATCATTCAATTAACATAATAATGGTGTTGGAATAACTTTTCATTAACAAGAAATATTAATCACTAAATAATTCATATTTAAATTCATTGTACTATTTAATTTAAGATAATTTTCCGCGATAGTTTTCGAGAAGTTTTGTGAAAATCTTCTTCATCACTGTACTAACTTTGCATAATTAGATTAAATCTATAAAGATTCATCATCATGCTTCTGACTGTGTTGAGAGGTCCATTGCCTCAGGAACATAAAATCTTAATATTTTTTTAATTGTTTTAGTCGTTGTGTTGGTATATGTCCCGAAGGAACATATCCATATGAACAAGATAAGTTATGTTTACCATGTCATCCACAATGTGGTTCATGTCGAAATGCAAGTGAAATAAGTTGTATTAGTTGTAAATCAGATTTATTTCTTATACATGATCTAATGACTTGTGTTGAATCTTGTCCTGAACAATATTATACTGGTAAGGAGTTTAATTTTAGAAAACAAAACAGAAAAAAGAAAGCATCTATTCATTTTCTAATAAGATCATCATCTACGAAAATGTATTCGTTGTAAAAATGATTGTGCATCATGTGATACAAGTTCTCATATATGTACATCATGTTTTGATGGTTATGCTCTTAAAGATACAGATTGTATTAAAGCATCACAACCTTGTGAAACAACTGAATATTTTGATTTTATTACAAATGAGTAAATAAATATTTATATTTTCAAATGTAAAATAATATTATTCTCATTTTGTAGATGTCGATGGTGTGATTCAAGATGTTTAACATGTAGTGGATCACAAATCGATCAATGTAAATCATGTGATAAAACAAGCAAATATCCATATCTTCAATATCATGCTTGTGTATCATCATGTTCACCAGGATTTTATCTTTCAAAAAATATATTTCAATGTCTTCCATGTCATGAAACATGTCTTAATTGTACATCATCAAATGAATTATCATGTACATCTTGTAAAATAGGTTATGTTTTTCTTCCGGATAATCATCGTTGTGAAAAACATACTGGTAAACCATATTATCTTGATATAGATACAGGTGAAACACATACATGTCATGGATCATGTACACAATGTAAAGGACCAAAACCAAATGATTGTATTGCATGTAATTTAATAAATGAAGTATTACTTGATGATGGACATTGTGTTAATAAATGTCCATTAGGATTTTATAAAAATGAAAAACAAACAATTGATTTTCAAACAAATATTTGTTTACCATGTTCAATCGGATGTATATCATGTAATAATATTAATCAATGTGATCAATGTGATCAATCAAAAGGATATAAATTAATTAATTCCAGTTGTATTGCAACATGTAAACAAGGGTAAAAATATTTGTAGAAAAGAAGAA